GAAAGAGTATCAAATATACAGGGTATTGGGGAGGAGGGAGTTGGGTTCTGAGATGTCAACAGGTAACTTAGCAACAGTGGCAAGACCAAGGGTTGTAGGTTAAATCACAAGGCGGGCTGATGGGCTGATTAACGTAATCCCTGAATAGGCCAAAGAAGCTAGGCAAGGTGCTGCTTAATTACCAAACTTAACTCCTAGAGGGGATTAAGGTGGTGCGGCCTGCAGATATAAGGTGGCAGCCAATTACAGGGCTTCTCACATCCCACCCTTAGCCCAAAATGAATATTTTGCACCATTGCTGCCTGCAACTATCTGTTTAAATGAATGAATCATACAACCTGAGAATGCTACAGACCAGAGGCAGTCCTAGCAGACCAAGTAGACAGTAAGACATTTTTCTCTCCAAGGTCTAGGCCTGACTTTTCCTTTGGAGAGAAGCCAAAACCAAAAGAAAAAAAAAAAGGTTTTTTTTGAGGACTCAACATAGGCAGGGCCACCCTGGGACCCAGAGTACATTTTGCAGTAGAGGCCTGAGGGGATAGGTGCCACTCATTTCTGTGTCCAAATGTAAGGTTTGAAGAGTACAGAGGTGACCTGAGAGAACTCTGTATCATTTGGCAATAAGAAGTATCAAGAGCAGTTTTGAAAACTGCCAAATATAGGGCTTTTAGGAGAAGACATCCAAGGATTGCTGTACTACCAAGAGAAATGGTGGTGCAAAGGCCAGACTCTTTTGGAAATCAGTAAAAAAGAGACCAGAATCTGGACACTATGGTGTGTGCCTGTAATTCTCACACTCTGGAAGTCTGAGGCAGGAGAACTGCAAGTTTGAGCTCAGCCTGGTACCTTGGTGAGATCCCGCCTCACAATTTAAAAAAAGTATAAGTGGCTGAGGATGCAACTCAGTGTGAAGGCCCTAGGTTCAGTCCTCAGTAACACACACACACACACCATAGCCAGAGGACTGGACTATATGCATATATGATTTCCCCTCAAAGGACTCCCAGGACATCAGGATGGACTTGGTTGTAGAGGCCACCCAGCTAACACCACTGAGTTTAGTGGTAATAAAACCTAATTTGTGCTATTTAATGGAGCTTAGGAAATCTCAGACTACAGATGACTAATAGCTGCAGAGCTCTTAATGGAGGATGCCCTGATTTGCATGTGTACCCTAGAGTTTCTAATGTTGGAAAGTTAACCCTTAATGCAACAGTATTGAGAAGGGGTATCTAATGAAGACTGTTCTTATGAATGGGTTTATGATATTGTTTTTAGAGTGCATCAGTTATTGAGCTCCTGATAAAATGAGTTTGGCATAACCCCCTCTCCTGTGTGAAGGCTCTACTTTGTTTTGCTGCATTAAGAAGACCTTCCCAGAAGCGGCCCCTCAATCCTGGACTTCCCAGGCTCCATCATGTAAATCAAACAAGTTTTATTCATTACAAATGCCCTGGGATGTTCTGATACAGCAGCACAAATGGACAGAGGACCCGTGTAAAACCCTAAAAATCATACACTTATTAGAGCTATGCTTTGATTAGGAACCCTTAAAGATAGGGGCTCAGGTTAGGCACAACTTTCCCATTTCTTGACTTTACAGGAACTCAATCATTTGAGTGGATATTGAACGTGGAGTGTTCACTTGAAAGATTAAAGTCCAGGAGACAAATGTGTTTGATGGGAAGCATGGGAAATGCTGGCTCTTTGGCTGTAGGCACTTCAAGGGGAAATTTACCTTGGTGATTTAGCCACAGGCTGGGGTGTGAGCCTTTTGTGTTTCAGGTTCAAAAACAGAGAAATTGGTTTTGTTAGTACACTGAGGTAAGATCACTTTATGGGGTCCTCGTTCACACTAAGCAAGTTCACAAGAGATGGATAGATGTGTAAATCAAAATGCTATTTTGTTAATTTACAATGACAAGTAAAATCAGAAAGGAGATCAGACACACATTCTGTTTCAAGCACATTCTCTCCCTGTGATGAAATCTAGGTGGGAAGTCAAATGATCATCAGAAGACAGCCGGGTGAACCTGGAATCAGCTAGAAGAGGGAGCTGGCTGCCTGACTGGAATCCTAAAGGAAGCCAGATGCTTTGTTTTGCAGCAAAGTATGCATCCAAGGGGTGAAATGGGCCACATTCTGCAGACAGGTTATCATTGCAGTGCAGACCTGGGCACACACAATTCCCTCCTCCTCACGGACACCGCTTTGTCTCATGCTACCCACACCTTTTGTGTTGGACGTGTTGTTCCTTCAGCTGGGTTGATTTCCTTGATTAGTTACAGCCCAGTTTTCCCTCTTTTTTGCTCTTGCTTTCCTGCCTATCAGGTGAAGCTGGGAAACAGACACTTGTTCTGAGTGCCTCTAACCTAGCTTTAACATCAGCAGTGACTGTCATGTCCTGCTGAAGTCAGGGAACCTCCTGTGGTCATGTGAGATTGGTGTGTAAACCCAACACCCGTTCCACACATACACACACACACACACACACACACACACTCCATAGGTTTGCTTGTCAACTTTCAAGCCAGGTCCAGTTGGGTAGAGGACGCTAATGAATTGGTAATGAGGGCAATCAATACCTTTATCTCAGCGGCTCTTCCACTCTGTAAACATTTGCTACCTTAATTGAACCTGGAGTGAGACGCTGTTGGAGCCCAGTGGCTGAGAGCACTGTTATGTCCTAGAATTACAGGCTCATCCGCTGCATCAACACTCACACAGTGTTTGAAACGCTCTGGGTTATAGATGAGGCAGGCCCTTGTGAAAAGGAAGCAATCTCTAAAAGAGAGTAGCTTTGTTTGGCTTCTGGGGAAAGAAATGTTTCCTGAATTCACTGGTTTGGGTGCTGGCGCTTCGGCCCTCTGTGCTGTCTTTCCCAATGATCTTTCCTTAGACTCCTCCCTGATGGATAGGATGACCCATGTTAGCTTTCATACTACCTGAAATGTATTAATGAATAGCAATACTGACAGCTTATATGCTAGACTCTGTTCTATGAATTCTTTTAACTATCCTGTGAAGCTTGGCATTACTATTGCCTTCATATTACAGAAGAGAAAATGAAAGCTTACCTTGTCTAAAGTCATTACCTCATACTAAATTGGTAAGTTTAACCTAAATCTGTTTCCATACTTGCTTGACATTTGGCCCAACAATAAGTGATAAACTGCAACTTAACTCTATGCAAACAAGCTGCCAACTCATTTAAGGGTGCTGTACATTCTCAATCACAGAGGAATTTCCGCCAGTCACAGGCTACCAAGTGATCACGTGCATGTTGCACTGAGCCCATTTAAGAAAAATGCTGACTGTAGCCAATCAGGTTGTTTTCATGTTACTTCCTTTTTTCTCACTATAAATATAACCTGCAAATGTCACGCAGTGCAGCATATGAACCCACCTTTAAGGTGGCTGCAGTGGTGCACAACTGTAATTCCAGCAGCAGGAGGCTGAGGCAGGAGGTTGCAGATTTGACTCCAGTCTGGAAAAAACAATGACCCTGTCTCAAAAATAAATAATAAAATATAGAAGGCTGGGAATGTAACTCATGGTGAAGGCCTGGGCTCAATCCCAGGACAACTGAAAAACAAACAAGCAAGCAATAGCTTTAGTCCTGAAGACTGCTTGGTTCTAGATGCTTTTTGTTGCTGCAATAAACTATGTTAAATTGAATTTTTCTCTGATTTTCTTTTAACACCAATAAGTGTTAAAGCTAGAATCTAAATCCGTCAGCCTGCCTCCTTATCCATAATGTTGAACAGAACTGAAGGGTTTCTCACAATGTATCCAGCTCACTTGAAAGTACTAGCACTTCCTATCTGGGTTTCCAGAAGTATGCCTTAAAATTAGAGCATCCTGACAAGGAATATTAGATTCTACTAATCATGTAACCTTGTTTTTCATTTCTCTCTGAAATGCAGTTTGTTTAAACTGAAAGGGTTAGACTAAAGAATCTCCAAGTCCTGTTTTAGTTGTGACTTTCTGGGTTTATTTCTATTATCCCTGCTACTAGTACTGTATTTGTATGTCATTTTAACAATTTATATACAATATTTTGTTTTGTTATTGAATGACCATTGGGTTAAAGTACAAGTTTTGCTTACTTTTACATTTCTGGAACTATCTGTGAAATGTTCCTATATTTATTAAGTTGTTCCTAACTATTCTGCAAGATAGGCAGGCAATATCATTATTTTCACTATGTAGATGAAGAAATCCATGCTTAGAGAGGCTTAGTACGTAACCTAAAACCACGGAGTTTACTTCTGTACTGTTCTTTGTTCCATTTATCCTTCCCCGGGCTTTGCTGTAAATGTACCTGCTCTCCCACAGCAGCAAATCCTCAAGCAATAAATAACAGTACAGAATGCATTTTCTAGGCAGCTGTCTTCCAGAGGAACAGTAAGATTGTGCTTGGAATAATGTAACTTTTCTAGCTACTCATTTAAGAGGACAAATTGTTCTGAGGTGTTTTTGAAGAACTGTAGAGCAACTGAATATTATGTGTACAAGTGATTTTCAAACTGAGTAACTGATAGCTGAAGATGAACTTTCGATTGCTTTTTGTTTACTGTGTTGCAAATCCTCAGTGTGGAACAGTGAGTTATGCACAGTCACCAGGAGCTCGGTGAAATGACAAGGTAGCTCAAATGACTCAGACTTCACCATGGCACAGCAGGACACCTTTTTTCTTTATGGGATAAAGTAGCTCAAGTTTTGCAAACTTCAATTTAACAAAAATGAAAACAAGTTAAGAATTGTATTCAGACTTTGATTAATTGGGATTTTACACGATATCAGTAATAAATTTTGCCAGCAAAATTTTTCCAGAGATATACTGTGTGCACAGAGAGAAAAAGAGCGCCAATCATCTTAAGAGTGTCCCAGAGTTTAATTCCCTGAGGTTCTGTTCTCTGGGAACTGTTTATCTCCTTCAAGACTCAAATTCTCCAGACTTGTAAAGGAATGTTGGCATCAGACGGACGATCCTCTGGGAGAACAGAGTCCCATAGACACATCAGCTCCATTTATTAGCATGAAAAATCCTTCTTGGAAGATGCTTGGGTATTATCAGTGGTGGGAAAATGGGGTGAAAGGAAGGGAGTGCATAAGGACTGAAAATGTCAGAGCTGAATCAGCTGCAACACGTGAGGCGCCCCAGGACTCAGCAAAAGGAAAGGTATAGACACTTCTGGCTGGCCCTGAGCTCCACACACGCTTGCTCTTCTTCCCTATGAACCGGCTGTGCTCTTCTGCAATGCTGGTGTTTCTTAACTTTGCAGGGCAAGACATTAGCGTCTAGACATAGAGGGACTGGGTATTCTTTATCCCATTTCCCACCACAATACTTTACTTAACTAATAAATTATGAGCACTGTGAGGGAGGGACATTTTGTTTTATATTTCTAGCCCCTCTTTTCTCTCCTAAGTCCTCTTTACTATCCCTAGATGATTTCACACTGTTTCTTGAAGGATTCTATAGTGGGGTTTTAAATAATTTTTAAATTAGAAAATAGTCTTTCTTATATGGATAATACACTTTGTTTTTTTATGATCAAGACCTACCAGAGGGAATTTTATGGCTTTTGTTGCTATTGTGAATAGGTTTCCCCCTCATATTTTAATTAGTGAGGGGTTTCTCCTCACACTTTATCCTTTAATTAGTAATATATAAAAAACTTGTTGAGTTAATTAGGTATTGCCACAAAAATGCTGCATAACAAAACCATCTCCAAATAGTCGATTACCACAATCATCTTGTTTTCTACTGGCTATGGATCAGATGAAAGTGGATCAAAAAGACTGCGTTCAGCCAGGAGCGGTGTGTTAAGCCGCAGGCCCACCAGGCTGGGGAAGCAGTTGCTCCATAGTATATTTTTGGGCCTGGGCTGAAGGACAAGAATTCTTTGAGGAACTACGGTATTTTCCTGAGCATGGTACAAGTGAAAGAGGCCAAGTAGAAAAACCAGATGGACCTGAAGACTTGTGATTTGAACTCTATGCTGCCAAAAGATAAGTCAAAGTCCTGATCCCTGTCTATATTTGGCTGTTGACAGTGAGCTTATTTGAAAATAGAGTTTTTATGGATGTGGTCAAGTTAGGTCATGCTGCATCAGGGTGGACCCTAATGCAATGACTGAGGTCCTCGTAAGGTAAGAGAAACTGGAACACAGATACCCATGCAGAACACATACAGCAGTGAAGGCAGAGAGCTGAGGTGTGCTGACAAAATGAAGAAACGCTAGGGATTTCCAGCAACAGGCAGAAGGTAGGAGAGAAACATGGAGCAAACTCTCACTCTGGCCCAAAAGAAGGAACCAACCCTGCCAAAAGGTAAATTTTGGACTTTTGGCCTCCACAACCATGAAAGAATAAGTTTCTTTGATTTTAAGCCACTAATTTGTAGTTATATACTATAGAATCCTAGCAAACTAGTACCAGAGCTAAGCTTCTCATGTCTACCCGCATTCCATTGGCCGAAGCAGGTCACATGGCCTAACCTAAAATCAACGTGCAGAAAGATCATTCTGGACCATTGTATGTGGTTAGGGTGTGGCTACAAAGAGGGAGATTTGGGATGATAATTTTATGTAGCCCACAAAAGATTTAGATGTGATCTACTGTCCTTTAGACAAGACAGTGTATTCTAACGATTAATAGTATCTTGGATTAAGAGATTCTCTAGCAATTTTTAACAGCACAACCTTTGGCAAATTAATCTCCAAACACCAGTTCCTTTAATTGTAAAATGAGAACAATAATAGCAGCAACCTTGTAGGATTATTATTAGAAGTACGTGATTGATATTTATGAAGTCTTTATTTCAGTTGTTCACACATAGCAGGGGCCAATAAATATTAACCTATTTTCATTATTATTGGTATCAGCAAAGCAGCAAAGGACAGGTGATTTTTTTTTTCTATTGGGACTTTGGAATTGTGAGTGAGAAGAAGGCTATGCATATGGAAAAGATTCAAATTTTACTTTGTGGAGCATAGTTTAAATTACATAAATGGTTTGTTGGGTGAGTAAAATTTAGGAAGAAAAAGAACCTATTTGCCAGAAGAATAGCCAGTTTAAGAAACCTTAAAACTGATTATGAAGGAGGATGAGATAAAGCTTTTAGCTACTGAGCAGTAAAGATGGGGGAATTCACTTGGATAAATATCAAGAAAGAAGGCAGAAACAGGACTCAGAGTATTGATATCTCTTTGCCAACATGCAGAATCTCATAGTTATAACATGAGAAGGTCATCTCATGAGTTGACCACCTCAACCTATGGGATGAAACTCTGAATATTACTAAGAGCATAGTAAAGGACAGGCCCTTTTATTTTTAAAAAATTTTTAATTAATTTATGGAGTATATTAGTTACCTTGGGATTTGATCATTATACACTGGCTGCATGCACTGAGTATGCTCTTCAAGAGGAAGCAGTTCATGAGAAAATTGATGTGGTTTTGTGCACTGATGTTTACCTACTGCAAGAGTCACAACCCAAGAAACGGAACCTGTGGAAAGAGGTCAAAGAAAGAGATTTGAGAAGTTTTTATTACTTGAGTTTTCTGTAAATCACATGATTAGATGAAACCAAAGGGTATTTTCTTTTAGTAAGTGCCAGACAAAATAAAGGGAATGTGGGAATATGTGGGAGTGTAGAGACATGGTTAGTCCTCACTGGGTTGAAAGCATCAGTCATGCTTTCAGGCTTCCTTAGGAGAAGAGAAAGCACCAAAAGGAACTGTGGATAAAGTCTTATTTCCACAGTGAGGAGGTTTTTGGGAATAACTAATAAGAAGCAATAACTAGAATTCACTGAGTACTTATAGATGAAGCATGCATCTAGAATGATTACGTGCTTCATTACATTTAACTTTTGTGATGACCTCATCAAGTTGATGTCTTTTAATCTTCATCTTATAGGTTGAAACACTCATGGGGAAAAAAATAACTAAGTCAATAGCTGAAGGCTACATGAGGAGTGGCAGGACTAATTTTAGGGCACACATTTTTCACCATGAATTATCCCTGAAAGTAGGCAAATCACTACCATCTTTATGAGCCTGGAAAATATTCAGAAGAAACTGATACCAGGAGGCAATAGATGGTGATCATAGCAACCATTTGGTGCAAAAGAGCCAGGGCCTCTGGGCTCAAGGGGCCAATGATGTAGAATTATGAAATGAGCCAAAAATTTCATAAGCAACTCATGTTCTTCCCCAATTTGCAAGCCCAGTCACACCTTTGTTCAATTGTGACAATTGTCCTTTTGTTATGTGTATTGATTTATTCATTTCCTAAACCTAGCATTAACAATTTTGAATCTTTGAAGAGGGTGCTCTACTGCTTGGAATGTCATTTAATCTCTCCCCCACCCTGGGGGTTTCTGCTCTTCCCTCAAGGCCCAGTTCCAGTGGCATCCCCTTTTCTGAAGCCTCTCCTGCCTTCCTGGCTACCGGTGAGTTCTTTGGGGCAGAGACAGTGTCTTCTGAACCATATCTGGGTCCTTTAACACTATTACAGCACTTGGCACAAGTAGATATCAGTGTGTGATAAAGAGAAAGCCACAGAAATATAAGTCCATGTCTTATTCACACAAAATGATCAAAATGAAATAAGCGAGATACTGGGCTATTTGTCTAGCATTTTGGAGGAGTGCCATTGCTTATACTAATTGAAAAGTGAAAGTTACAGATGCATACAGCCTATTTTATTTTGAAGGAAAATTCATCTTGCTGTTTTATGCAAGCGGGTAAAATATGCTCATAAAACAGTCTCTTCTGAGAATGACAAATATTTCAGGAAAATTTCAGTGGAATTATTTCTTTGTGCCTTTATTACCTAGCCCTCTATAAAGATGACTAGAAGGACAAAAGATATAGATGAGAGGATGACTCCAAAACGGAGCAAAACAGAATAGGTGAACCAGAATTCATAATTAGGGAGGATTTATGTGAATCTCAGGATCTTAAAAGTTAATCTAAAAAAATCTGTTTAGTATGATCACACTATGGAAGTGTTTGTGAGCAAATCATAGAAAAAAATAAATTTATTTAACAGTTTAAAGGAAGACAATAAACAACTGTGATGGTGATTTAGAGTTTATTGTTTTTGGTAAAGTCCTGCTGAAAAATGTTTCATATTGATGTATCCTGTTTATCTGTTTTCTGGGTTATTTGTGAAAATTCTTGTGTCAGCTAAAATATATTGTTTACATTGAATCATTCAAAACCACTTTTCAAACAAAATATTCTTTTATTAGGAAGAAAACTGCTCCCTTTGGAGGATGAGCTAATTAAATTTTGGGCTTTTCAGAGTTCACAGACTACAATATGATGAAATCCAAATTTACAATTACTTGGGTAGGAATAAATTAGAAACAATTATAACAAATGAGTCACATTATTTGTTAATTCGTACCCTCACTCTCATCACCTAAGAAGAAAATAAGCCACCAGTATCTGAAATTGTAGTTACATATTTATGAAGCTCATAGTTCCTGTGCAGGATTTGAAAAGAGCAAACAGTAATTGTTAAGGCCACAGCAGAAACAAGGTTTCCTCAGAAGTTTAGCATGGTGCTTCCTTTTGTAGGTCATTTCGACTTGGTATTTACAGGAAAAATGTGGACTAGGGACAAGTAGCAGAATTGAAATCCTTTTTAAAGATGATAAGAGCTGCCATTTATTGAGTTCTTACTGTGTTGCACTCATTACGAAAACCATTTCATTTCATTTTCAGGAAGACCGCATGACATCAATATTATTAGTGCCAGGCTGGCAGATAAAGAAACTATAGATTGTAGAAGTATATGCTCCAAAGTCTTAGAGATGTCAGGTGGCAGAGCTGGAATTAGATGCCAGGTTGGATTCTGGTGTTCTTGAACACGCGTACTACATTATTATCCTCTAGCTTGCATTTGAATTTCCTACCAGTTGACTATGAAAATCCCACCAGTTGACTTGCACCACATTTAAACACTCTCATGACATTGAGATCAGAGATAGAAGTTTTTCTTAAGTTAACCTCAATTCATACAAAAAATATGGCATATGCTTAATGTTTGTTAGAATGAAAGATGTATTGCCATTAACCCCCTTCTAAAAAGGGGGACACTTGTCCTGTCCATCTGGCCATCTACTTAAGCAGTTCTGCAAGTCTTCTCTTGTGAATGTCCTTAGTTGCACTGTTGTGGCTGCCTCAGTGTCCTGAATTGATTCAAAATGTTTCCCTTTCTGGTCGTTTTGACTTTGGGCAGGAGCCAGAAGCCAATGGTGCCAGACCTGGTGAGTCAGTTAGATACGGACGCAGTGTGATGCTTTATTTAACTGCAGTTGCAATAAACAGTTGGTCAGTGAGGGGTGGTCAAAAAATACAGTGAGTGTTGAAATTTTAAAATGCAGTCTAATGAAACACATTGCCATTACTCCCCTGCAAAATATTCTTCATCACTTCTAATGCATTAGCTTGTTCTTAGCAATGTGTCCCTTACTATAATAATTTTTGAATTATTTAAACATTCACCGTATCTTTTAATATCTCACTGTGCTTCTTGTATCTCACTCAGCCTTGATAACTGCTTGTATTTGTGGAATGAACAAATTTTCTTAGAACAGCTTGTGGGCATATCAAACTTTTATTAGCATCGAACTTGCGAGAATCCACCTAGCTATACAGTTCTGCTCCATTAAAAGACTGCTTATTAACAGATGAGAGACCAAAAACCCTGAAAGCACTGAGGAAGGAAGCAACACTGCACGGCAGTCAGTGGCTGAGGCTGGGTCCCTCTCTCCTAGATCCGCGTGTGGGGCCCATGAGCCTATTTTGTCTCTGATTTTCTGTGTATGTCTCCATCTTATTCCCCCTTCCGTGTCCCTCATCTCTCTACTATGAGAACCAGAGAGGTAGAGGATACCATGATTGTTTTGTATGCCATAGCCATTGCTGAATCCTAGAACCTCCAGGCTTTCAATATTTGTTGAATCAATAAATATGTCCATAACTATATGATCAGTTTTCAAGTCTGTGTTTTAGGCCTCTGCAACAGAAATGCTTTCTGTAAGCCACACCGTCATGAAACACAATGGGGCAGCTACAGAAAAGAAAACTCACCTGAAACAGGGAAGGTGAGTTTTTTATTTTTGTAATTCTTTATGTTTTAACCACTGAGAAGTCATATGTGTGTCAGCTAATTTTCTGCTTTGTCTCAGTACAGCTGAGTGTGATGTTTTAGACTGATTGTCTAGAGAATCTCCCAAACAATCAGGAGCCACGTGCAGATGCAGAGAGACCGTGTAGCTTTCCATTTTCCAGAAAGCAACTCACAAACCCTGCGCATGGCTGTTTGGATTCTGCAGCATGATAGAAGAGATTTTCTCCCCTATAAATCACATCTTTCATTCTGCAAAAATGCAGGTCATGTACAGTAGCAGGTGCAGAATTACTAATAGAATTCCAGCTCCATGAACCATATTGCAGGGTTTTCTGGCTTACAAATGTACGTTTTTGCTCTTTAGGATGATTTCAGGGATAAATGTGGGCAGCAGATAAAGACTAGCACCTTGTGTCCACATGGAAATGGGCTTATTTATGGGCCTTCTTTGGATGATCCTCTGTTTGGGGAATAAAGTGGCTAAAGGACCTTTAATGATGCCTTCCTCAGTTTGCCCAAACATTTTGCCCAATCATTAGACATCTGCCATGGGCTAGCAATGCCAACATTAGCTATAGGAATGAAAGAAAAACATCTCCATATTTCAAATAAATTCAAGAAAGGAGCCAGCCTACCTCACAGGAACAAGCGGAAGGGGTGGGAGTTTGTTGTCGTCAGTATCTTCTCCTCTATGTGCTCACAGAGGTACTTGTGATAAAGGGGGAGAAAAACTCCCAACCTACTGGACGTACAGTACAAGTTAATGTTCTCTAAAATCAAAGAGTGAATTTTAGGAATGACAGAAGTTAAGAGGAAAATATATTTATTGAGAAAAAGAAAGCTTCTGTCTGAGAGACAAAAGGGGTCCTGAGGGGTTGCCACAGACTCTGTCTTTTCTAGGGATTTTTATTAAGCAAAATCATGAAGTGAGGCAGCCGAAGGTGGGGAAAAATGGGTGCAAGGTGGGTATGAGGTGGGACAATAAAACAATAAGATTAACTGCACAGATAACTGACTAAATTGGGGACAAATGGGGAAGCCAGTTACATGGCAAGCTGGCATGCCTAAAGAGCAGTGACTCTTTCTGTAGGGAGTGACTCCTGGCTTCCTCAGGGTGATAGAGATCTCTTTAGAATATCAATACCTGATGCTTATCCTTAGAAAGAATGTGGGTGCATTTGACGTATCTTGTCTCCTAAGGTCAGGTTCACAGCAGAGATGTCTGTCTCCACTGCAGTTGCAAAGTATCTGGCCTTCTGCATTGGTTCCTCTGAGGGCCCAGCCCTGTCTGACTGCCTAGAATATTTCTAACTCAGCTGCCTGTAACACTGGTGCTGGCAGGCTATGCATGCACACACAAGTCGGGGTCGCTTCAGACCTTTCCTTCTCAATTGGGAAGAACTGCCAAAGCCAAAAATCACGAAGTTTTCTCTTGGTCTCATTTTGTTGTGCCAAAAAGGAAAGAAGGAAGGAAGAAAGGAAGGAAGGAAAGAAGGAAAGAAGGGAACCCTAACTGCCCATCCCATCCTGGAAGTGTGGTACAAAGAGCAGAAGGAAGGGAAACTACAAACGTGTCTCCCTGTGCTGTTCGGGACAGTGCTGAAAGTGGAAGGGGGCCAGGTACTGAAACCGTCCCGTGAGATGATTCTGGGCTCTACTGCCCACGTTTATCAGTTTTTCAGTCCTCATTAGGTTCACCTCATTTGATTTGGAAAAGGATAAGGTCCTGCTCTCCATAATGTTTGGGGGTGATTCTGACCCTTAAGGTTTTCTAGGTCATGGTGATCAGGGCCGTTTTTCTTCAGGGTCCAGAAAGCTGCATGACTTCTCCTACCAACATCCTGGGAGGAAGTTTCCATAGGTGCTCAGCGTGCAAAGCCTGAGGGGTTTCCTCTTCATGATCTTACTCCTTTGAAGGCCGGATGAGAGAATCAGTAAGGGAGCTGACTGTGCAGGCTGGAGAGCAGAGCACTGGATGACCTCGCGGGGACTCTTGAGTGGCCAAGGGGAGCCTTGACCCAGCACTCTTACTTGGCGTGTTCTCCAAGAGCAGTGTCTTCTCCGAAAACGCCTTTGCTTCTTTTTAGGGTGGGGAGCTGGGATGAGGGCACGGGGCTATCAGGAAAGGGGAGACTGTGTGACTGCGGAAGATGGTGGCCAAAGGAAGCGCATATCCCCTGTGTGTTTCCCAGCACAGCAGCCAAGAGCCGCTCTCCAAACTTGGAAGGTCCCCAGGCTCCTGCCCTTGGCCAGGAAACTGGCTCCCTTCAGCCGTTCTGCGAATATTCTCTTTATATTGTGCCTACAGCATTCGTGCTGCTCCCTCGCTGATGTTATTTAAAGCCTGCCTTCTTTTCTTTAAATAAAATTTTATATTTATTAAATTGTTATATGTTCATTGGTTTTTAGAACAACCGTACACTATTAAATCCTTCACCTCAGGGACTGGGCATCAGTCCTTTTTCCCAGTCTTTCCCTCTGCTTTTCTTTCCTACAAATACGATCTTTCAAAAATTTTAGCTAGTGCTTCTGATACAGTCACACCTTCACTGCTTTGAAACTTACCAAACTTGGTACTTGACACATTTTGATGCCTTTGTTCCCATACTAGTCCTTTATGGGGTATTTGATGGGCAAGCTAGAACCTGGTGTCCGTGACAGTAAATTGATTAATTTACTATCCTTTCCAGATAAAATTTGTTTGGTACTTACTCTTGTTGTATTGGTCATACATACAGAAAAAATAATGATGAATATCAAAGGTACCCTTGTATTTAGCTCTGCTTTCTTTTTTTCTAATATGAATTTTGGGGCTACTCATTAGTGCATCAATTTTAGGTAGTGGTACTGATTCTATTAAGATAGGTGAGTACTGAGCCCTTATATCTCCACGTGCTTGTCCTCTCTCCTCTCCAAGATGGTCATATCACAGTTTTTAATGTTATCATGGCTATGTAAATACAATGTATTGCTTAGCCAAATATTGTGATTCATTTTTGTGTTATTATTATTGTAAGCCAATAAGCCTAATGTGAGTCTTCAGGTAGGATACCAACCTATATTAGTTTTCCATTGCTATAACAAAATACCAGAGAGTAGATAATTTATTAAAAAACAACGTAACTCACAGTTTTGAGGGTACAAAACAGGATGGTGGCTTCTTCTGTGCCTTGTGGAAAACAGCATCACAGTGGTGGGAGCAAAGCAGTAGTGAGAGATCACATGGGGTGACTAGAAGTGAGAGAGTAATTGAGGGGTTAGGTTTACTCTTTTATAACTCATCAGGGGTTCCGAGGATGCTTCTTTAATCCCTTCTGAGCTCAAGTGCTCCTAAAGGTTCCCCACTGGGCTCCACCTCATAAAGATTCCATTACCTCTTAACATCACCACATAGGGACCAAGTTTTCACATCAAGCCTTGGGGGACAGACCACATCCAAACCACACCACACCCTGTCATTCTTTCACATGCAAAATTCACTCACCCTCTATAGAGGTCTTCCCCAAATCTCACCCCACTGTAGCATCAGCTAGAACTTTGTGACTTTTTCATTGTCTAAATCAGATCCAGGAAAAGTGAAGCTCCCAAGGGTAGTTCTTTGATAACCCTTCAAACACAGTTCCTTTCAATCTGAAGACCTGTAAACTAAAGGGACAACTCATCTGCAGCCCACACCCAACATACATGAGGGGGGCAGACATGATTCTTCTGGAAATCCTGTTATGGAAAAGGGAGGAAAGAGGAGACACACAGGGACCAGTAGTTTGCAGCAGTTCTGAAACCCAGCAGGACTCAGTTAACATTCCTTGATTGAGATTTACAGCTTAGGAAGATTCTCCAGGCTTCTGCCTGTACCTTCTACATATTTGTTTTTACTCTGTGAGTCATTCTTCCGTTCCCATGAAAGTCAGCAGCTGGGGCATTTTCTCAGCCGATTTTCTGGCTACAGAAGTTTGGAGATCCAAAGCTCTTTTCATAAATGATTCTGTTTCTATTCCTTTCTGTCCAAACTGGAGGCATTTTTGCCAATACAATTGTTGTAAAACATCTATAGGTTTCCTGTACGCCTGCGACTCATACCATCAAACAGAAGCCACCTCAAAAATCTCTGAGATAAACCTTTCCCTACCTTGAGCTTTTGCTGAGAAGACAGAGTCAATATCCTTAAGCTTCTTAGGAGCTTTGTTTCACTGAACAGTTCTCTGAGGCTCTGCCTTAGATATTTCTGACACTGTAACAGATTTTGTATTTTTTGCAGCCACACATTCAGGTTCATCTTTGTGATATTTTTTTCTCATTGTGCTTTGAATTTGATCTACATCTGGGAGCCATTTCTTAGTTTTGGAATCATCTGCCATCTGGAGATGCTAGGGAGTTTCCAGCTATCAAGTCTTATCTCCTTTTGGTTTAACATTTTTTTCCCATGGCCTTTATCTCTACTCTCACTTAAGCAGCAGAAAGAAAGATGTGGCCTCCAACACCCTGAAGGAATGTCCTGAGTGAGATTACCTACTTCCTTAGGTACATTTTTCTATTTTCCATCTTAGAACAGGCAAGAGTGCTGCTAAACTTTCTGCCCCTATACAACAAGAACCTCCTTTACTCTATATTCTAATAACATCACCTCCCTTCCCAGTTTTTAGGCTTTCTCGGTACCATCCTCAAAAGCCATCAGGTAATATTAAGAAATCTTTAACATTCTTCAATATTTCACTGATGCTTTCCCTAAAAGTCCTTGTCGTTTCTGCCCACCATTCGATCCAAATCCACACCCACTTTTTTAGGATTTTGTCATCACTGTACTACACTTTCAGAACAAAAGCCTCATATTTCAAATTTACTCCAAAACTTACTGGCTTAAGACAAAAACAAACATTTACTATCTTGAATGATTTCTGTAGATCAGAAATTCAGGAGAGGTTTAGGCAGGTAGTTCTGACCTGGGTCATACAGGGTGAACTTGTACAAAGTGCTGACAGGAGACTGAAGTCAGCTTAGAGCTTGGCTAGATGAGGAGATCCACTTCCAAGGTCACTCGCTCACATGACCTGCGAGTCTTGTTAGCTGTTGGCTGACCATGGTCCTGAGGCTGCTTGAGTGTCATCTTATCATGCAAGCTGGCTTCCCCCACAGCAATTGACCTAAGAGAGCAAAGGCAAGCCTCGATGTTTTTTATAACCTGGCCTTAAAACTGTCATGCCTTTCATTTACACAAAATGCTAGTTGTTACATATTCAATCCTACTGAATGGGGGGGGGCACTATACAAGGGCATGAAAACCAGGAAATGAGTATCACTGGGGATCATCTCAGACACTGGCTGTGAGTACTTATCTTTTTCTCTGATTATTATTTTTTAATAATGCTAAATGATATCATTTTTACATGTTACATGATATATTTAAAACATCCAAGAATCTTTTTTCTAAACACAGGAAAGCATCCGTTTCTATTCACTTGTACTGTTTTCCCTGTGGACATCACCTCTGCATCCTTTCGTTCTTCTGTGTCACATGAGTTGGTTGCTTTCCAGTCTTCATGTCCCCTGTAGGACTCCTTCTCTATTTTGTACTGCAACTCTCGTTTTGGCTTTCTTCAGTGGCCTTCTTCTTTTGGCCAATAAGCTGTGAACTTGGTACACTTGGTAGAGTTTGTCAACTCAACTTGGGCACTCCTTTGTAGGGAATACAGAAGAATGCGGGTTTTATTTTTTCCACTGGTAGACCCTCATCTTTCATTGTGTAGGGACCTTTTGCTGAGGACTGATACAAAGAATCCCCCAACTTCCTCTCCCTTGACTGTGCATTCTGGAATTGGGGCTGAGGCAGAGGACTGAGGATTTTACCATTCATTATGCATGTCCTGAAACACACCACCCACATCACCACGTTTCCCTCTGCTCCAGTTCAACCTTGTGTTGCAGTTCAATTTCTCCAGAAAACAACACCTTCTGGTATAGCTCAGGGCAGGAGGTGAGCAGCAAGGGTACTTACCTGCTCTCCAGAGCGGGTGATCCTATTGGTGCAAGAGCTTGCCCTAAGAGCCTTTCAAAGCATGCCTTGGGAGGCTGAGCTAGGTGGATTGCTGTCAGTTTCAGGCCAGCCTGGGCTACACAGTGAGTTTAAGGCCAGCTTGAACTGCAGAGTGAGAGCCTCTCTCAAATAAACAGACAGTCAGACAGACAGACAGACAGACACAGACAGACAAAGAACTCACTTGTTTGCCATCACTCAACCCTTCTCTGAACTCCTTGGTAATCTACATTATTCTTCTGAAATAAATCAACCCTTCTCTGCTCTGTGAACTTCTCATTTACGGAAGTATTTTAGATTCTGTTTTTCCATTCTTTATTTCTATTCTCTTTGTCAATGGGTCAATACCTTTATTTTTTTTTCTAAGTTGGAATTTTGGAAGATAAATATGTTTGATCATTCACCTATGCAAAACTATGAGTCCAGGAAGAGAATTTCAACTCGTGAAACAAAAATGTACTACAAAAACTCAAAACAAGAGAAAACCAACCTATAGTTACTCCAGATAAGGCCCAGGAACTTAATTGATAAAGTGAGCCCACCCCTTCACAGCCCCAGTCTTCTAAAAATTGATCTTTACATCTTCACCAAACAGGAAAACTGCATCTCTTCCACACACTCAGCCCATGTCCTGGCGTCTGCAGGCGGTGCTGCTGGCTTAGGTTCCATGGCCACAGGAAGCATATGGGTTCCAAGAAGTGATTAATCACTTTACTCCTTCACCTAGATTTCCAGCTGTGGTTCACTTTCTCCTTCTGGCTCCCTTTCTTCCAGACAAAATACCAGAAGTATTCCTACCATTTATCACACCTGTTCTGGTGATCAGTTTCATATTGCTGGTGGTCATTCTTGCTTTTTGGCTTATCTCAAAGCCATCTGTTATGGGATGAAGGAGACTTGTTAGCATTTAGTTCCTTGTGGTAAATGGGAGGCAGAAAGTCATCTTGAAGGAAACCGCCTCAGTCTTTACGCATGTCTTGTAGAGCTTGACCCACAGGGGGGTCACCTCTGGGGATTTTAGCTCCCTGTTTAGTCTATTTCCAGATCACACAACACATCAGAAAGCAGAACAGAGTCTGGCAAATGGTCGGTCAGGTTCAAAGTAGTCCGCCTTGATGCCTGGTTTGGGGAGTCAGCAACCCCTCTTAATCTCCTCTTTTCTCTAAACAGGGCTTCTGAGAAATATACATTAGTGCTGCCCTGGGAATTATTTTGTCTTAAGACCTACATCCAGACTCCACCCTAAGAGGTTATGAGAGCCAAGGCATTTGTGTTTTCAAACAGCTCTCTAGGAGATTTTAGTTAAGAAGCATTGCTTTAAAGAAATATCTCTAAAGTAGAAGGAGGAGTACAGTAGAT